GGTTAGATTCAGCATATCAAAGAACCCCATATATTCAATTTTTGTTGAAATCAAACAAAGTTGAATTTTGGACCCCAACTTGGACAAACTTGAAAACTGGTCCCATAATCAAAAATTTAAACACATGTTTAGATTCAGCATATCAAAGTACCCCAAGAATTCAATTTTTGTTAAAATCAAACTAAGTTTAATTTTGGACCCTTTGGACCTTTATGTAGACCAATTTAAAAAGCGGGACCCAAAATTAAAAATCTAAAAACACAGTTAGATTTGGCATATCAAAGAACCCCAATAATTCAATTTTTGATGAAATCAAACAAAGTTTAATTTTGGACCCTTTTGACCTCAATATGAACCAATTTGATAGCGGGCCCACAAATAAAAAATCTAAATACAGGGTAAGATTCAGCATATCAAAGAACCCCATATATTCAATTTTTGTTGAAATCAAACAAAGTTTAATTTTGGACCCCAATTTGGACCAACTTTAAAACTGGGCCAAAAATCTAAAATCTAAATACATGTTTAGATTCAGAATATCAAAGAACCCCATATATTCAATTTTTGTTGAAATCAAACAAAGTTTAATTTTGGACCCCAACTTGGACCAACTTGAAAACTGAGCCCATAATCAAAAATCTGAACACATGTTTAGATTCAGCATATCAAAGAACCCCAAAAATTCAATTTTTTTCAAATTTCAAACTAAGTTTAATTTTGGACCCTTTGGACCTTAATGTAGACCAATTTAAAAAAAGGGACCCAAAATTAAAAATCTAAATACACGGTTAGATTTGGCATATCAAAGAACCCCAATAATTCAATTTTTGATGAAATCAAACAAAGTTTAATTTTGGACCCTTTTGACCTCAATATGAACCAATTTGATAGCAGGACCCACAAATAAAAAATTCTAAATACATGGTTAGATTCAGCATATCAAAGAACCTCATATATTCAATTTTTGTTGAAATCAAACAAATTTTAATTTTGGACCCCAATTTGGACAAACTTGAAAACTGGGCCAAAAATCAAAAATCTAAATACATGTTTAGATTCAGCATATCAAAGAACCCCATATATTCAATTTTTGTTAAAATCAAACAAAGTTTAATTTTGGACCCTTTGGACCTTAATGTAGACCAATTTGAAAACTGGACCCATAATTAAAAATCTAAATACACGGTTAGATTCGGCATAACAAATAAATAAATGTGGTCAAAGATTTTACAAATCTAATGCGCCATACTGTGCAATTTAAGATTACTTCTTGAAATTTTTCAATATTTGAAATTTGAAAAAAAAATAATATTTGAAGAATAATTCTTTTTAATTTCTGAAATCTGAAATGAGAAAAAATTGACCCCCCACAATTTCTTTTTACCCCCCCCCCCCCCCCCCCCCCTTTCCCCCAAAAAATTCTTTCCCTCAAGATATGGTCATAATCTCAATTCAAATTTCCAATGGAATTTGCAGCCATAATTACCCATTTAAATTTACCATAGTGATAACTTAATCTATTTTATAATAGAATTTAAAATATAGTGTCAAATCTTTCATATGGATTTTTTGGTAAAAAAAAAAGATGCAACATTTGCAGATATTTTTACTGGTCTTCCTTTATAAATATGCATTTCTTTAAACATAATTTAAAAGCAGTGTAAGGGAAGTAACCAAAACGTTGTATTTGGATTACCTCCCTTACACTGTTTTAAATTATCTTAATTGTTCATTAACCATTACTTTATACATAATATAAAAGCAGTGTAAGGGAGATAATTTCAATGATGTATTTGATTTATCTCCCTTACACTGCTTTAAATTATGTTTTGTACTAAAGTATTTGTCCATTAACCAGGACAACCTTGTTTTTCCCCCTTTTTTGCCCCTAATTCTTAAACGGTTTGAGCCATAACCCCCCAAAGCAAATCCTAACCATCCCTTTGTGGTATGGAAACTTGTAGTATAATTTCAGAGAGATCCATACACTGTTCCACAGTTATTGTCTGGAAACTAGAAAATGCTTATTTTTGGCCCCTTTTTGGCCCCTAATTCCTTAACTGTTGGTACCATAACCCCCAAAATCAATCCCCACCTTCCTTTTGTGGTATTGAACCTTATGGTAAAATTTCACAGAGATCCATTCACTTAAACTAAAGTTAGAGTGCGAAAACTAATGCGTATTCGGACGACGACGCTGGACGACGACGACGACGCCGGACGACAACGACGACGACGACGACGCCAACGTCATACCAATATACGACCACAAAATTTTTTTTGCAGTCGTATAAAAAGGACCAAAATAAATTGGGAAGAGTGTCGTCAGGTCATTATAGATGCTCTTTAATTTTATTGTAAAAAAGGGTGAAAATGGGAGAAATCGGACAAAAAGTCAAGCATTCTGAGAGTATTGCATGACAATACATAAATGTCTGAATATTGTTGATATTCGCATATCAAATTTCGAAAATAATTTAGAAATAAATAAGAGTAAGTATGAGCTCATTTCTAGGATTAAAAATAAAATTTAAGTACTCGCAAAGAGTTTTGTGTTCGTACCGGCAGACAAAGCAGCCAACAATGTGATGATGGTATGACATAAATACTGCACGGAAGTCCTTAAGAACGAAATTATACATTCAACTACATTCAAGGCCGTACGCTGTACATAGTCATGTGTAAATAATCATGTCACTACCACAGCTCAGCTTAATGCCTCCTCTGAACATTTGAAGTTCCCCACTATGTATCGGTTACCTAAACCACACAAAAACAAAGTAAAATATCGTTTCATCTCGGCCTCTAGTAAATGTTATGTTACTTATCTTTCAGTGCTTTGAACGAGTTCCTTAACTACTATCAAAGAACTTATCAGTATTTTTGTAATAAAACATATGAAAATAGTTGAATTAATCATTTTTGATTAAGATAGATTACGTGCTTTTGATGGTCCTTTTGATTCGGTTGACAGTTTATACTGTTCCACTCTTTATACACCACTTCCATACAATCTTATCAAAGTTTTCCTATTTAATTACATGGTCGTTTGATAAATCTGATTGAAAATTTATCTGCTGCAACTCATATAAAGCCTTTTTCTCAAATGAGAAAGGTAAATATGATAGATATACTTACTGGAGGTGTGATGAGATGATTAAAGCCGTATTTTTTTTCTCTCCTGGACAACATTTTTGTACGTTTCGGCAATAAAGTTTATCGACAGGTTCTAGGCATTCCTATTGGCACCAATTAAGCCCCTTTAATAGCAGACTTGTTCCTAAACTGTTATGAATCGCAGTTTATGGCCAAACTCTGTAAAGAACCGTCTAAATTCCATTTAGTTGATAAATTCAACAACACTTACCATTATGTTGAAGGTCTTTTTTCGTTAAATAATCAAGAATTCTCTAAATATAATGCTGAAACTTACCCAAAAGAACATACTTTAAATAAATCAAATATTAACAGGAATAACTTCCTTTCCTAGATTTAGATATCTCAGTGTTACATCAAAAACTCTACACAGAAATTTACGACAAAAGGGACGATTTTTCTTTCCCTATTGTTAATTTTCCTTTTTTGGACGGTGATGTTCCTTTGGTACCGTCTATTGTTGTTTATATATCCCAACTCGTTTGCTATGCCTGTGTCTGTAGTGACATTTTGGATTTCAATGAGCGTAATCTATGTATTACTAGTAAATTATTAAACCAGGGATTTCGTTATCACAAATTACTTAAAACCTTTACTAAATTCTTCCATAGATACAAAGATTTGGTTTGCAAGTTTGGCTGTACCTGTAGAAAATTTATTTCAAAGGGAATAGGACATCCTAAATTTTACGATGACGTTGTTAACCAAGCCCAGAAATTTATATATGATCCGGGTAAACTTATTAACCCTTAAAATAATCTTGGTTTAAAGGGTTACCAATTCAACACTGTAATTAAATTTTTGAATGTTGTTTTTATTGATATAAAGATTGATTTTGTTATCAGTAAATTAAACCATACTAAATATTATTGTTATACACTGACATATATACTTTCACGGTACTACAATATGTCGATACCTATATTTTGGCATTGCACAAGGTCATGTTTTTCTCCGACTGTTTATGACATTTTTATCCTAAATCTATTGGATGTTGGATGTGTACTGATTGATATTTTAGCCTTAGATACATATTTTTTTTAATAAGTTGTTATTGGTTTGAACTAGCTGTCAGTAACTGCGAGTACTCTCAGATCTGTACTTAGTGTCTTTTTTGTTGTTGAGGGATGGATAATATACCCTTCCACGTCTAGTCTGTGTTTTGTATGATGTTTTTCTGCTTTGTACTAGTCTGATGAGTTAAGTTTTTTCAATTGATTTTTATAGTTTGTTCTTATGTTGTGCTTTTACATCGCTGTCCTAGGTTAGGTGGAGGGTTGAGCGCTCACAAAACATGTTTAACCCCGCCACATTCTTTATGTGCCTGTCCCAAGTCAGGAGCCTGTAGTTCAGTGGTTGTCGTTGGTTTGTGTCTGTCATATTTGTTTTTTGTAAATTGTTATGGTATAAATTAGGCCATTAGTTTTCTCAATTGATTTCATGTTTGGGCCTTTTATAGCAGACTATACAGTATGGGTTTTTCTCATTTTTGAAGGCCATACCGCTGCCTTTAATTGCTTACATCCACTTCATTTGAACTATGGTGGATAGTTGTCTCATTGGCAATCATACCATATCCCCTTTTTATATAAATAATTCATTGTTCAGTCATTCAAGAGCTTTTCAGATCAAAAATGGTTTACTAGTGAAATGTTCACCCAATGTATTTTTGATAATGTGAAGAATTGTTTTGATTCAATTTGTAAAAAAAACCATTTAACTATTAGAGTTCACAAATCATTGATCAAGATGACTCTATAGATGCTACATCTCACCATTGCAACTTCTGTATTTATGCTAGACTTTTCAATGACACAAAATTCTATTAAGGGTTGAACAGTAAAACATGTAAATTATATTTTATCAAAACATAATCAGGTAATAATACATAAATTCTATACACTAACAACAAATTTAATATCGTGTAGTTACAACTAAGAGTTGTTTGCAGATTTCAAATATGGAAAGAAACTTGGAAACCAAAATTGCCTTTCTTTTCCTTGATCATCCACCCAAGCAAGCCCTTCTTTCACCATGAAATTCTGAAACAGAAAAGGTTTGATATTAAAATTTTAAAGGATGAACTTTAATTTTTAGTTCTTTGCTACTACTAAATCAAACATCTGTGAATTAATAAAAAAAACAACTTTCAGTGTGATAAGTCGATAGTAACAAGAGAAACGATCAAAAGACAAATAACAGTATACAAAACACATCATAGAAAACTAAAGACTGAGCGACACGAAAGCTCAACAAAATAAGTGAATCTGTGATTTACTGCTCACTAATGAGACCCCAGCCCCGCTAAAAGAATAAGGTAAACAGTAAGTTGTTGAGTGATGAATCTGAAAACGCATCACACGGTATAGCTGACTCATATAAACCCCGAAACCAAATTTAAGAAATCCTTGTAATGTAGTTCCTGAGAAAGATGCAACGAAAAATATTCATGGGATGGACAGACGGACGGACGGACTGACGGATGGATGGACTGACAGATGGACGGACAGACAGAGATAAAACAGCGTACCCCCACTTTTTTAAAGCGGGGGTAAAATTACTGTAAGCCAAGGTCATTTTTCCTGGAACTTTCTCCATAGGATCTTTATCAAGATACATGGTCTAATTAGTTTAACTTAACAACTAGAATATCATAAAACATTACATGTTGAAGGTTTTTACCGTCTGTAATATCAAAGTAATAGTTGCTATATTTTTATACGTACCGGTAACATAATTGGATACAAAATTTATTGAGATACACAAACTAATGCAGCATAATTGAAAAATATATAGATCAGAAAGGTATTCAGAACTAACCCACTAAAAAACTTAGATTCAATAAAACTAGAGGCTCTCAAGAGCCTGTGTCACTCACCTGACTCTACTTTGGTTTTAGATATCATGTAAAGATAGATAATAAAATGCTCCGCTGGGTGCAGCTTGATTCGACCACAGAGGTCCAACCCTGCACAGTTGGGGCAAGTATGGACACAATATTCAAGCTTGATACAGCACTGAATTTGGATTGTGATTAAATATTTGACACAGCACAGGTTTCTGACACAGAATGAATGTGGTCTAAGAACTTAAATTTTTTTAATTTACCTATTCAAACCATATCATTGTTATTTGCTTTTATATATAAATCAGAAATAACCAATTTAAAATGGAAAATTTTAAAGAAAAAAAAAATCCCCCCCCAAATTTTTTGAACCCCCTTATGATTCATCACCCCCAAACTCAATCCCAGCCTTCCCTTTGTGGTATGGTACCTGCAGTACAATTTCAGAGAGATCCATACACTTGAACACAAGTTATTGTCTGGAAACTAGAAAAATACTTGTTTTTTGGCCCCAAATTCCTAAACGTTTAGGCAATTACCCCCAAACTCAAACCCAGCTTTCCCTTTGTGATATGAAACCTTGTAGTACAATTTCATAAAGATCCATTCACTTAAACTAAAGTTAGAGTGCGAAAACCAATGTGTCTTCGGACTACGACGATGACGACGCCAACGTCATACCAATATACGACCGCAAATTTTTTTGCAGTCGTATAAAAAACATAACAGATACCCAAATAATGATTGAGGCCAAATTTGGTTTAATATTGGTCCTGTTATTTAATAAAATATCTTCGTGGCCATCTTGAACAGTAAATTAGCAACAAAGAAGCAACACTTGGTCAGCACCTCATAAGGAGCATTCATGCCATATTTGGTTTCATTCCATTCAGTGGTACTCTAAAAGAAGACATTTGTATGTATTTCCCATAGGGTCCTATGTTAAACTAAGTCCCCAGCTGGGGGCCATCTTGGATGATGGATCGGCTTCAAAGTAACAACACTTGGTCAGCACCTCATAAGGAACATTCATGCCATTTTTGGTTTCATTCCATTCAGTGGTTCTCTAAAAGAAGACAGTTGTATATATTTCCCATAGGGTCCTATGTTAAACTAAGTCCCTGCTGGCGGCCATCTTGGATGATGGGTCGGCTTCAAAGTAACAACACTTGGTCACCACCTCATAAGGAGCATTCATGCCATAATTGGTTTCATTCAATTCAGTGGTTCTCTAAAAGAAGACATTTGTATGTATTTCCCATAGGGTCTTATGTTAAACTAAGTCCCCTGCTGGCGGCCATCTTGGATGATGGATCGGCTTCAAAGTAACAACACTTGGTCAGAACCTCATAAGGAGCATTCATGCAATATTTGGTTTCATTCCATTCAGTGGTTCTCTAGAAGAAGACATTTGTATGTATTTCCCAAAGGGTCCTATGTTAAACTAAGTCACCCGCTGGCAGCCATCTTGGATGATGGGTCGGCTTCAAAGTAACAACACTTGGTCAGAACCTCATAAGGAGCATTCATGCAATATTTGGTTTCATTCCATTCAGTGGTTCTCTAGAAGAAGACATTTGTATGTATTTCCCAAAGGGTCCTATGTTAAACTAAGTCACCCGCTGGCAGCCATCTTGGATGATGGGTCGGCTTCAAAGTAACAACACTTGGTCAGCACCTCATAAGGATCATTCATGCCATGTTTGGTTTCATTCCATTCAGTGGTTCTCTAGAAGAAGTTCAAAATGTTAAAAGTTAACGACGTCGACAACAGACGACGCTGACGACGACTACGGATGACGGACGACAGACGCCAAGTGATGAGAAAAGCTCACTAAAAAAAACAGCAAAAAACTAGATTCAAGAAAAAACTGTCATTTTACTTTATTTCTTTATCTATGTTAATCTGAAGTAGTCAAGGTAGTTGCATTCTCCAAATAACAGTTGTAAGCCAGTACATGAGCTGGTCTTTTCATATAATTTCTGTATTATTTGTCAGATGTTTTGTTCATGAATTGGTGAATCAATTGGGTAAAGTTTTCATTAACATACAGATGACCCATATGAGTAATTAAATGAATATTTATTAAAAAAAACTTCCTTCTTTGATGATCATTAGATTTCATGTCTCATATACATTCACACATGTCCCTTGTTTCAATTTGAGATGATACCATACTAGTGTTTGATGAATTTAGTGAACTTCTATAAAAGTAAATTGTGTACTGATGTTGGGCGTGGTAACATGCATCTTTCATCAAATCTATAAAGTCAAGAAATGTCCAATTTTATTCATGATACAGCATAACTTTAAGTTATGACTAATTAACCAGATATGTCTTTACAAAATTAAGTGAACCTTTTAAAACATGAAACGTTTTAAAATTAAATGCAAACATACTACTAACTTAAAGCTTCCTGCATTCTGCTTACACTTTTAGTTTTAGTTTAAATAATTTATCTTGATTTCCACATACTCTCTGTGGTCTTTCAAAATGAATATCTTGTTTTGTTGACACTTAACTTCATACAGCCTCTGATTACTAAACCAAATAAATTTAACATTCAAGCATGTTAATACTAAAAGCTAAAACCTTTGAAATTGATTTCTTTCCAAGTATATTTCCAGTCAATCATATGTTGTATCAAAAGAATGTGTATATTTCATCATGCTTAATGATTAAATGAAAACAATTTGCAATTTCTGATAACAGTAACTTTTGAAAAGAAGTTTCCCCATATCACAATAAAAAAAAAAAACATCTTATGTTTTTGTACGTGATATAACTATGATATTGAAAAATAAGAAATTTTCAGTTGACGAAGTTATGCTCCCAATGCACATGCATCATTTCTAACACTTAATTTCACATTAAGTTTAAGTTATTTTTGGTTTATTATCTTTAATACTGCTTTCAAATTTTCAAATAATTGACTTTGAGCATCTCTGACCAAGAATTAACTTATGAAATGCATGAAAGGTGATTAGGTTAATTTAGGTATCTTGTAATTTTGTAAATCATTATGAGGTAGTGTATCCCTTTTCCTTCTCTTTTTTTTAGTGAAACATGTTTTCTTTTACTACAATCACATAAAAAATAATTTCAGTGATGAAGGACATCATAGTTTTGTACTGGCACCAAAGTCATACATTCAATGAGCTGCCACTATCTTACATTATAGACATATTAGTATCAACTTAATATGAATAAAAATAAGATGTGGGTTCATAAGTCAATTATACATCAACCCAAAAACAAAAATAAACCAAAAGACATCAAGAGGCCAACATACAGTCTTCAATAATAGACAAGAGTCCACACAATATGTCATTAGATTCAAGTTTTACCAACAACCCATGTCGAATAATCAAATTAGCTCATCTTTATTTTTAAATAAATGTGGATAGTATCCACATGTGGACACAGATGATGCCCCCGCTTGCATATCATATAGTTATAAAGGGACATAACTGAAGAACGGTAAAAATGACGCTACCCTAATTTGAACTTGATCTGAGTTTTGTGGTAATAAGCATTGTGTGTAAGTCTCATAACATTTGGTTGAGGCTAACTTAAGTAGAGAACAGAAACTAAAAATTCAGCAATTTTTCTATTTGTAAACACGCATAACTCTAGAACGGTTGTGTATAAGTTTTATAACATTTGGTTGAGACAAACTAAAGTTAGAGAACGGAAACTAAAATTTCAGCAATTTTTATGTTTATAAAGGGACATAACTCAAGAATGGTAAAAGTGTCACCACCAAATTTCGTACTTAATCTGTATTATGTAGTAATAAGCATTGTGTATAAGTTTCATAACATTTGGTTGAGGCAAACTAAAGTTAGAAAACGGAAACAAAAAATTTGTACTTGATCTTAGTTTTGTGGTAATGAATTTTGTGTATAAGTTTTATAACATTTGGTTGAGACAAACTAAAGTTAGAGAACGGAAACTAAAAATTCAGCAATTTTTATGTTTATGAAGGGGCATAACTCAATAATGGTTAAAGTGACACTATCCAAATTCAACTTGATCTGTGTTTTATCAGTGGAAGTCAAAATTAAACATTGCATTGTATAAAGCATTGATTGTAGTTGATTCAACTATAATCATGGACAAAGGAAGATAACTCCAATTTTAAAAATAACTTGATATTAAGAAGAAAATAAAAATTTTGCAATTTTTCCATTTA